TGTCTCACACATAATTTCTAATTTAACATGACAACTGCAAACAAGTTTTGAGCAGCTGCAAAATGTCTTGCAGAAGTGTTAAGAGTTGTGAAGCAGAAGATGATTTACTGACAAATAAGTTTCCAGCAGATACATATTCAAAGATTCACAATTTTCTGCTCCGTTTTTGATCTCGAAAACATAAAACAGAAACAACAAAGCAACCAGAAAGGGTTGTTGTTGGCACTGTGCCTTCATGGAAGAACAGCTACAGTTTATGTCACGGTTGTAGTTTGTTCTCATTTATAGACCCTTTTACATCTTGAGTGCAAGACCCTGCCTCCATCTCCCCATTGCTCCCCGACAATGCTAAAACCAATGATTGTCATCGTCGAGGAGCAGCGTGAAACTTTGTTGTGCTGATGAAGTCAAAACACACAACGTTGCAATTGCAGTGCTTCCATTGTGTAAGAGGCGCAAGTAGAATCAAACGTGAATAAGTTTGAACTTGCGATAAGTCATTTACATAAAAAGCATTTCGCGCCATCATCCTCCAACTACTTCCTGTGGTCTTCTTCGTGGTTTGTGCCAGTAGCAACATCGGTATTTTGGGGAGGGGGTTTATCATTTTACTCATGTGATGCAAAAACAGTGTTCCTATTGCAGTTGTGCAATTATACCAATTTCCATATGAACAACAAAAAAAAAAAAAAACCTCATCGTGGCGACAAAGCTTTTTATTGTCAGTTTTTGTTTGAAATTGGCATCTCTTTTACACAATTTATTTTAAATGTCGAATTGCACAATTATATTAACTGGAAATGCAGGAAGTGCAATGATGAAAGGTACATTTCTGAGCTTCCATCTATCATTATGGTTATTTTGATAACATCAAATAGCAATAAATCCTGTGATCTTTACAGACTTTCTCATGAATAATTTTAAAACCTCACTCTTCTTCTGTGCCAACTTCCCACAAAGATAAGACACAAAGTCCAAAATAAAAGGAACAGAAATTTGTGGTTGTATTTAAAAACAAAAAAAATCTAGACTCAGTTTTGCAAGACAATGTATAAATCCAGAGTCAGAATCAAGTTTCTGTCCACATCACATTTCGATCATTTCCCCATCTGCAACAGATGGGTGACATCTATGAATGTCAGAAGAAAATATGACAGTCAGCGTCTCGCCGTGTGCACATACTAAAAGAAAAAAAAGAAATCCATTCTCTGCACTCAACCAGCGTGACTTGGGCTCACGCCACGTGTGATTTGCCAGCTGTCAATTTATGGCTTCACGTGCCTCTGGCTTTGAAGAGGATTTCAGTCTTTTGGCATGTGGTTCAAAAATACCAAACATCAGACAATTGCAAAGCACAAATTTGCAAAGAACTCACAAACAATCAGCTGGTTGTGAGTTCAGGCGGAAGCAATCAAGGTAGCGGAGGAGATTCCTTCAAATAGAGACCCCCCACTTGCTTTGAAAAAAAAATGTTAAAAAAATGTCAGAAACCAAAGCTGAAATGGTTATGATCAACCGTTGGGCTGCAATTGCATAATGAATCAATGTGATATTATTGGGACAATAGGAACCGAAGCACATTAATCAAATCTGAGAACAAAACAATGAACTGATGAGTTTGGCAACAATTAAAATGATGGATGATTGCAGCAAATTGTGCTTGTTGATGTGGATGCTAATGGGGGATTTCTTGTTGGAGAACAAATCCATTTGAGTTCATTTTATTGATTTTATCTGAATCTGTGGACTTTACAAGTTTTCCGCTCACACTTAAGATATGCAGGACTGGTTGAAAAAACTGCACAAAAATGAGATGGAATAAATGAACCAGTCGTTCTGTCCTAATCGCATTAGAAAGTGGTCATCATATTATTATAAAACACAAAGCACAACTATAAATTAAGGATAATTAAGAGTTAATCTTAACAAAATGTAAGCCTCAATGGGAAGCCTGGGACATCGCTGATTGGACTGCTAACTGTCCTTTGAAAACATATCTTCCGATGGAAGTAGCGCAAAACTTTGTTGATATTCCACTAAACCTGATAAAACACAAATTTTGCAATTGCTGTATTTCTGTTAAATAAACAAAATGACATAAGTCATTCAAAAACATGGTCCCATCACTTCCTGTCATCTTCATCTTTTCCGCCAGTCGTAACATCACTGATCACGTGACTCATGTGATATGAAAAAGCATTTCCATTGCAGTTGTGCTAAAGATACCGGAAATCAATCTCATTCTAGCACTCAAACTCATTCTGCTACATGTGGCACAGATGTGTGCACACGTGTGGGGTGCACATGTCATCTGGGAGCAGCGTTACGCGTCATGAAATTTCTGAACATGTCCATCAGTGGCAGCCTGGTCCTCATTGTTAACTAAAACAGATTATGCTCCTCTCAATTTATAGAAAGGTCATTGTCCTTTGCCAACACAGATTCCTATGTTATTCTAACAATTTCAATGCAACAGTGATATGAAGGTTGGTATAAGAAAGAAAATCTTGAAAAGCAGCTAATTTTTACTAAAAGATAATCCTAGAGCATCAAAAGATGAAATTATTAAATTGACAACTCCTGTCACTGTACTGGAGCTGAAACGATTCCTCAAATTATTTGAATACTTCGATTAAATCATTATCTGTCTCAAAGCTTCGTTAAATTATGTAACACACCATGTTCCACCCGGATCATTATTTATGTATGGCAACGCTCTCACTTCCACTTATGAGTTGTTGTGAAGAGCTAGCAGGATGTTGTTGAATTGTGCCAGGGTTTGGGAAAGAAATAAGTATTGTTGAACTTTGCAGTGTGATGGTTGGACTACGACGGCTTTTTTGGCGTTTTAATCCCGTCGTCACGGGTTTGTAGCGCGTGAGAGAGAGCGATCCAATTCCTCTGGTAATCGTAAAAATATTCTACAGATTACTAGAATATTCTATCACAACAGCCCGACATTGTACAATAAATCTTGGAATCTTTGTTTCTGAGCAAATAAATTGCCACTTCTACACATCCAATTGATCTGTTTCACAATTATAATGTAAAAAATACATATTTGGTATGTCAGGCCTGATAAATAAGGTAAAGTTTATACTTATAATTGTTTGATTACCTCATTCAACACACCGAGTGCAATTGTAAGCTACCATAAGATAAAGATGAAATGGATAATTGCTGTCCCACAGGATTTTCAGAGACAATTACATCCCAGACATGCAGAATTCAGAGCTCTCCAGCAAGATAATTACAGCTGCTGCACTGACAAGGCTCATCTTTGTTGTTTGAATTCTCCTTTCCATATTGATTTTACCCAAGCTGTTCATGTTCTACGTTCACACTCCTTTGATGATGAAAAGCTCGGTATCAGCCGAGCCTTCAGTCACACAATTAACCGTGCCTTTTTTCTACTTTGTCTTATTAGGAAAAATTGTTTTCTATCCTCTATTCATATTCTCTGTTTTTGTTATTCATTGCATCTGATTGTTCGTGTTTGCCCTCCTATTTGAAATCATATTTCATTGTGCTTTATTGGGAAAATTGGGATTTTGATTGATCTGCCACGCATTAAAATGAGAGAAAGAAAACCTTTTTTACTAAACATACACCATATAAGTGACTCTCTTTTTTGGATTGTACCAGGATTAGGTTATTCTATCTCCAGTAAAGGCAACTTTAAAGTTAAAGTAATAGTTGACAATAGTATTAAAGCTGCAAATGTCTCAGTTAATAAATAGAAACGGCATAGATGCTTTAGGAATTGTTTGATTTATTTTAATAGTTAAACATTGGACCTGCTCTACACCCTCAGCGGGATCCTGCCCAACCAGTCTACATGTGGTTTACAGGCGTTTGTGTCCCTTTAGGAATCTTGTGGGGGCTAGTCCGGGAGCCTTTCATACAGGCTGTTAAGTCACTGTATGTCAGAGCCTGGTCCACATTGTCAACAATACAATAGGCTCATTTCCAGTAAGAAATTAGCCTGAACAGTACTTGGAAAGTACTGTACTTAAAATCAGCTAGATTTCCAAGTACTGTACTTGGAAATCTAGCTGAACAAGGTTTTGTTTGCATAAAACCTAGCTTAACAACAACATTTTAAGGGTGTTGCCCTTATGTTCAGTCTTTTGAATCAACTTACATATTTTTATGAAAATGCCATTGAAAAACGAGGACAACACGTTTAACGGCATATGCTCCCTCAGTCTGTAATCCATTAAGACCCAAAAGTGTCAACAAAAGAAGTTTGTTTTTAAAACTCCCTTATATTGTTGCTAGCGACTGTCACAACAAAAAAACTCCTCGATAAAATAGCAACAAAATTTTCAGAAGTTTTGCCCAGTTCCTACATTTACAGGAAGATGCAGCTACATGCATTTCAATGGATTCTAACAGTGAGAAAAGTTCAGCTCATTATTCCAGTTGGCTTAAAAAAGTTTTCTATTTAAGGAAACCCATCAAAGTCCACACATAGAATGTCTGATCTCAGGAAGACATATAACACTTGAACCCAGACTCTTCCTTCAAGAATGGATGTTTAAGAGAAAAACAGACCAAAGTGACTCTCGAATCTCAATTGATTTTCTAGGGAAGAAAAGAAACAAAGATGCTGAATACTGCATCGACTAATCTAGCGGTCTGGGGTAGAAACATGTTGAGTAAGGTGAGCCAAAGTTACTTTTAATTGTAAATTATTGCTTAAGTAAAGGCGAAGACAAAAAGAAGGAGAAAAAGGGAAAGATGAGAATGAAGGATAAGAGAACAAAAAAACTTTTGATTTACAATCCATTGTGACTTCACTGAACATCTTTTGTATCTGCACAATGAACCACGTAACCAATGTATGAGGCCAAACATGTTTTTTATCAATCTCTGTTTTCATACAGGTTTTTGTCAAATGAAAGTCTGTAGTCAATAGGCTGAATGATATTAAGGGCGGAGCTAAACATCTGAAACCAGACTATTAAAGTCTGACACTTTATCATGAATCCTTAGAGACTTTGAAAATGGCACTCCAAAAGCTTTCTGCGTTCACTGTGTTGACCATTCTCATATGCAATGGTAAGAGATATTTTTACAAACTCGCTTTTTTCATATTGTTTTATTTACTCTTGTGATAATTATTATCTGACTCAACATGGTTGTGGGAGAAAAAACAATTATTTTCTATCTACACAATATGCCACTATGATCAAATTCTTACTTTTCCAGCACTTCATTAATCACACAAAGTGAAACTGATTAAATTAAATCAAGAGAATTTGCACTTTGATTTAAAAGTTGTTTTTAAACCCTGTTTGAAGGTTATTTTTTAACTAGTCTTTCCTTTGGCAGGATGCTAGTACTTGTATAATCCTCAGTTTTGAAAGAAGTTTAGGAATGCACATTACTAATAAACTGTGTCCTTATTCATTTAGGAGGAAATTAAATTTAATTAAATTTTTTTCACAGTTATACTGAGAGGAAATCTGAGGCCACTTCAGTAGAAGTGATAAATTCTGTATATTTTAGTATTCAATGACAAATAAATACAAATACAGGGTCAGTATTGCCAATAGTGTCACTTTTTTTTAAGTCTGATATACTGTCAAACTTCTCATGTTTAGGTGGTTTTGTTTGTCCAAATTCTGTCCTAGATTTATATGTTGTGGTTTCTATGTGTCTAAAAAACTTTAATATTTAAATATCAGTGTGTAATCAAAAAAAAAGTGCAAAAAAATCTAATTTTACATCATTGTTGTAGTTTGAAAAACTACAACAAAATAAAACAAAATTTTAAGAAGGAATCCGACATTAAGGTATTGATCTTGCCACACTTGAATCAATACGATACCGATACTAACCTGGTAGTATCGGTACCAAGTTATCAGTGTTACATAACATTAATAACTTGGTATCTATGTTAAATATTTTGGATCAATCCACCCATCTCTATTAATCAGATTATATAACAAAGAAATATAAATAAAATATGATGAGTTTAAAACTTTTCTGATTAAAATCAGAAAAGTAATCAATTTATGTTGTATTACCAATTTCTGTCAATTTATAGTTCTGATCTTTGAGTAATTAGGTAAATTGCTAAATCTTAAGTTGTGTCTAAAGTGTGACACAGTTGAATATCCATGCCATACAAAATAGTAAGTTAAAAGTCCTAGGCTAACAATATTACATCCACAAAAAGATCAATTTTGTATCAATCATTAAGATGATTCCAAATGTTTGGATTTTATTAAAAATATGTACACATTTCTTATTGCAAAAAATGCTTGAAATAAATTGAAAAGTTTGCAGATTATCTCTCAGGAGCATCCTATTTTTTGTAGAGTGTAATGTTTTTCTCATGAAGGTCAAATGCGTGATGCTTAAAAGTATTGGCTGTATGTTCAAAACTTTGTTCAATGATAAGAATTTTAAAAATTTAAAACAAGGTGTCATGTATATCCTGCATATGTTGAATTTTTAGATGCAGTCCTTTACATATCACTGTGTCTGAACTATGAAGTCGTGACAATTCCAAAGTGCTTTTTTCTGCTTTGAAATAAATCACGATCATAAATAAAACGTTTCAATTTCTGCCTTGAAATTCAAAAACAAAACAATATTTCCAAAATTGAGAAACATGTTTGAAATTAGCCAGGACCACCAATAAAATGCCACACTGATAAACTATTACAGCCAGCAAATAATTGTTTGCTCATTGTGTACTGGATGCAAATTTAACCTGACCCCTGAATAAATTTTGCACAAAAAAAATATATATATATATTAAAAAGTCAAACATCAAATTCACAAATTGGGTCGTTATTTGTAGTCCAAGTATCTAAGATTAGAATCTAATTATAAAGGATAGGAAACTCAAAACATTGTGAGTAATGACATGTCGGTTGTTTCTTAAATTAATAAATCCATCTTTGGTCTTTGTTTCAGGTTGTCAGGCTCAACGGCAGCCAAGTAAGTTTCAAAGATTAATTCTACGTATTTTATAAGTTTACTTCCTTTGTTTTCATATTAGAGCGTATTAACATGACGTGTTTCAAGAAAATTATGTTCTTTCTTTGGATTACTTGAGTGTACTAGGTGTGCAACATTAAAATCAGAACTCTGTCAAACTTGTGCGTCGTTTAGCAGTGACTTTATTTTTAGATTTGCATGACTATTTTAAATTCTATAGTTTTACAAATTTTTCTACTGAACAATTTTTGACGTGTACTTTGCTTGAGCGTGGTATAAATTTGGCTTAAATATTGACATTTTTAAATCTGTCCTGTGTTGATCTGGTCATTAATTAAGGAAGGTATACTTTCTATTTACCTCGGCTGTAAGTGGTGAAACTATATACAATATAATGTTTTTGTTACATTATATATATATATCAACATTTATGACATTTATTATTGTTTTCCCTAACAGTGTGTGGTAATGTAGTTAACAAAAGACGGATTGTTGGGGGCCAGGATACATTCCCAGGCCGTTGGCCCTGGCAGGTCAGCATACAGGGAGAGAACGGTCACTACTGTGGAGGATCCCTGATCACCGACCAGTGGGTGTTGACCGCGGCCCACTGCATTGGAAGGTGAGATTTCTGTCTCTCGTTGGGCACGGTTACAACCATTTGATCATATCTGGATGTATTTCCACTTCTTTTTTTTTCTGGAGGCGATTAAAGCTACAGTATGTTACAAAAATAGGTCTCCATGTTGTGACAATATGAGAGATAATGTGTGACAAGATAGAGCTTCTTCCTGAAGAAATGCACCGCTTGCAGTTAAAAGCATCCAATCAAAGCCAGAAAGCGGGCCTTAGTGTTGTTGACCACGCCTGTATACGTCAACAGCAGAGAAACAACTTACAGTTCCAGGAAAATAGTTCATCCACTCACCAGTGGCCATGCTAACTAGCTGTAGCATTCAGACAGCCTCCATTGTGGTGAACCAGCTCCAGTTTAGCAGACAGAAATGGGGAGGGTGTGAGCAGCATGTAAACAAGAACGATTGTTTCGCAGCACTAAGACCCTTCTCCTAAAGCTTATTGGTTGTTTATGACATAGTGTATTTGTTCAGGTAACAGCAGGTCCATAAGGAGAAGGCAGAGGAGTTAGATTGTCTCATACTGTACTGTCACAATATTGGGAGTTTTAACAACTCAAAATGAGTGATAAAAGAAAAAAAATTCATAAATGTTACAGACCGCTGTTTTAGACCACAAAACATTTACATCCCCAATTACAATCCCCATGCTGAAGCATGGTGGGGTTGGGGTTGTTTTTCTGTGGTGACTGGTCCATACAGAAAGTGTGATGACATTTTGGTCTGTCTGATCGTCTAATTTTTAAATATCTAATGATTGATGATTTGATCAGCCATTCAGTAGTTTAGTAGTCTTTACCAAATGCTTTTTTACTCTTGAGTAATTTCCTAGATTGCTACCCTCTATTTTTCCTTGAGCAAAACTGTTAAAATAGTGACACTCTTCCTACCTCTGATTCCTAAGGTGATGGTGACAATCTCCAAGTGCTGAACTCACAACTCATTCTTTGTTTCTTTTGTTTATTATAGTGACATCCTCACATCTAGAGTTCATCTGGGTGCCTACAATTTGACACAATCCAACCCCAATGAAGTGACTCGGGGGATCGCACAAGTCAACAAGCATCTTGATTACAACCCTAACACTTATGACAATGACATCGCTCTGTTGAAGCTGTCGGCTCGCGTCAATTTCACAGACTACATTCAGCCAGTGTGCCTGGCTTCACATAACAGCACCTTTCATGAGGGTACCCACAGCTGGGTTACTGGTTTTGGTAGCCTGGGTAAGTTACAGATCATTCATTTAGGCCAAACAGTGGTGTTTTCTGAAGTCCCATAAATGCTGAAATTGTTCTTCCATTAGGTAATGAGATGTTCCCTGACATCCTGCAGGAGGTTGAAATACCGATCGTAGGAAATAACAAGTGCTCATGCTACAATCAAGACTTTGCCGCCATCACAGAGAACATGATGTGTGCTGGCCTTGATGAGGGAGGAAAGGACTCTTGTCAGGTGACTAGTTCTTTTGGGTGTGTGTGATTCGTCATGTACCTGGATCTTCTCAAGTCTATAAAACATACGGTGGTGTGATGTTCAGCCTAGTTACGACCAAAGCCCATTGAATAAACCAACCATCCATTTTCTGTACACTTAATCTGCTCATGGGACGCAAAAAAATCGGTGCATTGGATGTTGGCAAAGGCTGGGCAGGTTTTTAGCGTTTATTGAGTGATAGAGACTTGCTTGCGACACGGTGGAGGAGCTTCACCATTTTACATATTATCTGTCTCATAATCTACTATTAGTTTGCACTCCGGTGGTGCTGAAGTGCAAACAACTTCAGCAATTCATCAAACACAACTAAAAATTTAAAAACAACATATTCAAAAACAGTGACATTAACTAAGCAGAATTGCCAAATAAGAAAACAACATTAATGAAACGGAAGAGATCCTATAGAAACCTGGGTCATCCTTCATTGGATGAGACCGCTTTTCTCTTTAGAACCATGAAATTATTCTGCCATTCACTCTCTTTGTTTAGACAGTCATAGCTTACCACTGAGAAAAAGAACAGAGTGAAGCTTTGTATTATGTCCCTACTCAAAAATATACTTTGATACAAGCATCACCTGTCACTTTCCTATTTTCAATAATCAGCAACAATATCTAGCTCTTCTATTTTGTTAATATTTGTGTTTTCTTCATTTGTAGCTGTACTTAGTTAATTTTGTGTTTTTGAATATGTTGTGTTAAGTGAATTAAGTGAGAAAGGGTCACTATATTACCGTGATAATATGGGAATAGTTAAATATGTAAAAAAATAAATAAAAAAAACATTTTTGTAGAAGTTATATATGGGGGGTCCAGGTGATAGACTAACAATTTATAAGAATTTTTACATAATGTAAATTCTATTGTGCTCAACCAAAAACAATCTCAACTCTTGCTCACACACACAAAAAAAAAAAAAATTAAAGCAGAAGCAAAGTTCAAATCTCTTCTGCTTCCTCTCACAGGGAGACTCGGGAGGACCGCTAGTGATGTACAACAGTCTTGTGTGGGTCCAGGGTGGGGTGGTGAGTTTTGGGTATGACTGCGCCGTTCCAATGAAACCTGGAGTCTACGCTCGAGTGTCCGCCTATCAGAAGTGGATCACCGACACGGTCACTGGCATGAAACCCAGCTTTGTCGATTTCATCTCCGAAGGCTTTGATCCTGACTTGTGGTTCTCTTGCTCTACCTTCACGCCTCCCACCACCACTGATGACAGCCTCTTTGGCAGTGGTGAAAACCTGAGTCACTTCACTCACCTCCTGGCTCTCTCTGCACTGTCGCTCATTCTCCATGTCTTTATCAGCAGCGGTGGAATGTAATTGTTGCTAAAAAACAAAACCACAAAAAAAAAAAAAAAAAGTTAAAAGAAAACGCTTGCTTCTTCTTGTGGTGCGGCTCTGTAGCTGGGTTCTCCTAAGCTAGTTGCAATTAATTTTGCTTAGTTGAAAAATGTAAACACAAAGGTGTTTAACGAGAATCTCAATTTGACTATTGAAATCATCTGCATTACTTTATTCAATCCAAAGCAAACATAGTTAATCCTTTACTTCGATATGGTTAAGTGCTATAATCACGTGTGGGTGGATTTGCACTGATTTGTTACTGGCTGATGTACTTTCAAACCCTTTAAAGGTTTGTTTATATAGTCCGTTGATTTGCATGCATTTATTACTAAAAAATAAACATCCTTGGCAAATTATAATTATTTTTTATGTGTTCAGTAATGTTTCTTCTCCTGAAAACTAAATCAAACGAGTAACTTTCAGTCATGAATAGCAGAGAAAGAAGTACTTTGTTTTATTATTAGTGTCAAAGTCCTGATTGTATTGGTCAAATATTAGACCAACAAAGATCTGTCCAAATATTAATCAAGTTAAAGTACTGGAGTGGGTGCTTTTGAAGATACTTAAATACAGAAAGTACAAATTCTCAAGAAAAGAACTCAAGTAAATGTACTTCTCAACAGCCCACTTCTGTTCATATGTCACATATCTGAAGCACTGAAGGGAGGAAAAAGAAAATAAAAGCAATTAAAAGGTGGTGGAAGGCAGGGATGTTACGAGCAAAAACCTATTAAGGATATAGGAATGAATAAACCATTATGTTGTTAGGCAAAGAGGTAAAAAAAAAAAATGGGATTTTACTCTGAAGAGAATATCGCTTACCTTCCGTGTATCAATTCTGAAGGGAATTGAAAGTATATCAATTTCAAAGTATCAAAAAGCGTATCGTCTTTCTGAGGAGTTTCCCACGAGTCTCAGGGTTTTACAAACAGACAATGGGCTTCTACACTGAAACAGAGAATGGCGGTACAACTTAAAAATAAATGATTGTTAATTTGTTAAAGTGTAATTAAATTGCAACTACTTATGTTTTCTTAACTGGATATATTTACTCTGATAAACTTAATTTAATTTTGTATAAAGTATCTATATTTTCTTCTTAAGTTTTCATCATCATCATCTACAGTAGATTCATTCTGGTTTGTAGGAAACTGACTCATCCACAAAGCAGGGTGGGTCGAAACTGCAACAGGTCTGCAGAGGAGTTCATCAAATGTTGGAGGTCATTATGACCCTGATGATGTAGGGTCAGAAAAAGTAACAAAATAAAAAAAATAACAAAATTTAAAAAAAAATCTCTGCAGACTCCACACATCCTGGACACAAACCGTTTTGTCTCTTACTCTCAACTTGGCATAACAGAGTGATATTTCCAAAAATAAGCCACCACAGGTAGTTTCTTCCCTGAGGGCGTCTCTATGATGAACACTCAGCAGTTCCCCAATTGATACCACAACACTTTGACCTGCATTTGAATAACCAGCTCTACGGGCCTTTTGGTGCAACATTCCTCTTTTTTTCATGCTTGCCAGGAATCTTGAAAAGCAAACTGTGAAATAGTTCAATGAATCCGTAATCCATCAACATAAAGACGTAAAATATACAAAAACAGCTGGATTTTTGTTTTCAAAAGAACTTTGTAGACAGCTAAAATTACCATGGCAGTATCAGCAACAACTTAAACCTTTAGTTCTAAAGTAAAACAAGCAGTAATGAAAAACACCAAAGGAAATCAAAACTCATTTTTAATAGTGAAATGATAACTTCCTGAGCTAAAGCATCAAAGACAAATTTGAGCCAGAAAACTGTTGATTTAGTCAGAAAAGAAGTTCCAAATGTTGATCATTAAACCAGTATCTGTAGGTTTCAGTCGTCTGGTGTTTGGGGCATACAATGTATGTTAGCAAAATGCCAACAAGGAAAAGCATCAGCAATGACCAAAAACAAAGCAATTATTTAAAGCAATTGCCAACCATCTATCTGAGAAGAATTACAAAGCCATTGCCAGACAAATTAAATTTGACATTCTACAGTGGAAATCATAGATAGTTAATATTCAAATGAAAAGGCTTTCCATTAACTTGAACTCCGGCTAAGCCAAGTTTCAGAAAGCTTGCGCAATATCAAGAGACACACATTGGTGATACTGCTAGCATTAGCATGGTTAGCTCATCTTGTTGCCACAACAGGACAGTCTAGTCTGAACAGGTTTCCAGTTCAGTTTTCGTTTTCCTCTTTTGGCTTCCTTCCGAAACATCCAGTCTTTAGGTACATCATCATCGTCGTCGTCTACTGTGCTGCAGTGTGCACCACAGTATCTAAACTATATTCTTGAGTATAGTCCTATTTTCTGTGAAGCTGTGAAAGGAAGATTAAAAAGGAGCTCAACTAACAATAACTAATAGAGAAATGATGGCAATATTAACAGAATGAAAGAAAGGAAATTGCTATGTCTTCAATCCCTTAATGTCACTGCGTATCATTGAAGACATGAAGAAGTTTCGTTCTTGTGATGTTTATTAGCGTCCACTGTTGATCAGTCTCTAGTTTCCAACTGCCATGTTCTAACTTACCTGTCGTTCCCCGGCCAACCGTCACTACAGCAACTCTGAACATTCCAGGTACATAACAGAAATGAAAATCAAACAGCCCCAAATACTGCATCATGACAGCATGGGACGGTACTGGACGGAGGATTAGCGTTTGCACGAAAAAAATAAAATGAGTGTGTAACCTGCTTTTGAGAGGGGGGAAAAAATATGCACCGCGACCGGAGAGGAGTTTGAAAATGGCTTTCCCAAAGCTGACCGGGTTTGTCCTGGTGACCCTCCTGCTGCACAGTGGTAAGACACAAGTTTTGGTTTTAAATATTTATTTTCATAAAATAAAATGTGTCTCATTGTTTCAAACTTAAATTTAGCAATACTTAGAGAAAGGTATTTGACTATGTAATTCTATTTTTAACATAAAAAATCTCTATCTACAAAACGTATGTGTATCTCTTTAGTTAAATGATCTAAAGTCTGCCTTGAACATTGGAATAGTGGTGGTCAGTTTCAACACTTATCACCAAATGTATGGGGGTTTTTTGCCCTATTTTTGAGATGAAGCATTCCTCTGTTCTGTGTTCCAGGTTGTCTGTCACAGACGTTTGGTAAGCATCTTGGGCCAGTTTGAGAAGTTGTGCAAATGAAAAGATAAGTTATACTAATGTCATGTATTTTAATACGAGATGGTATCCTTTCCAAAGACCTGTGTGCGAATTGTTTTGCAAGTTCATTATTGGCGGCTCAGTCAAAGCCGCCATCATTTCTGCCTTCATTATAATGGCAGCCAAAGAGAAGCATCAACATAAAACATGTTTCAGCAACCATGCATTTTTGCCTGTTTTGTTTCATTTACTGGTGTAAGTCACAATGTCAGATGTAAATGAATATAAGACATAAATGGTATTTAAAAAGAACAGAAATAAAACCCATAGAAATGAGCAAACCACACATATCTTAAAGGTAAAAATTGTTCCATGGAACACTGAATGTTCTACATAGACACAGAAAGTGAAAGGGATATCTTGTGACAGAACTTGTTGCCTCTGTGCTTTCCTACTTATTTTTTCTTCCTTGTTGTCAGAATGTGGCCGGCTGCCGATCAGGAACCGAATTATTGGGGGTATGGATGCATATCTTGGGACGTGGCCATGGCAGGCAAGTTTGCATCAGAAGGGTTTTGCTTTCTGTGGAGGATCGCTGATCAACCATCAATGGATCCTGACCGCTGCTCACTGTATAACATGGTGAGAGGTTGACAAAGCATATTCATTTTTTTCTTTAACCCTCCCACAGTCCTAAACTTTGGGGTCATTTGGACCCCAGGAACTTTTCACTATGTGTGCAGTTGAACATTGCGCTGAACTGCTTTCTTGCTGAAATGTGCTTACAAATAAATTTGATCAACAATTTGACCATAGGTTGTAATAAAAAAAATTTTAAAAAAAACCTTCCGTTAATAGGAACGTGACTTTTACTGACGGAAGGTGTTAGATCAGCTGCAAGGCGTTCAACACTTGATAACCATTGTTGCCAAATTGTACCTATTGCAGCCAAGTTGTTTGTGGAAACATGTTTTATTCAAAGATTATATTTTAAATATGGAAGCAGGGTGAAATTTTATTTCAAAGCCCCGTTTCAAAGATACGTTTCAACAACATAAAACATTCCTGGACTATTTCCTTAGTTACTATGGGGGAAGACCTCAGACTACTAGTCACTAAGTTTACCATCAGGTCAAAAGTTCAAATTAATGATTGTACATTTGTGTTTTGAAGGTATGACCTTTTCGTCACAGAAGTCCTGCTGGGTACTGTAGAACTGAATGTCAAGAGCCCCCATCGGGTGAATCTAAAACTTGCTCAAATCGTCTGCCATCCTAAATACAACCCTGAGACATTTAACAATGACATTTGTCTTCTGAGGCTTTCGAAGCCTGTCACGTTCACAAAGTACATCCAACCCATCTGCTTAGCTTCTGAAACCAGCCATTTCAATGACGGGAATAAGGCTTGGGTCACTGGTTTTGGTGTGACTGGTAAGATACATGGGATTGGTAAAATATGGAATATTTACTTAATTTTTCCTTCTTAATTCTACACAAATGCTATTCATTTTTCTTCAAATAACCACAGCAACTGGATTATCAACCAACAAGTTGAAGGAGGTCGATGTTCCAATTATTGGAAGAAAGAGGTGCAGATGCTACTATAAACAGGCTGCCTCAATCACAGACAACATGATATGTGCTGGACATTTTCGTGGAGGAAAGGACTCATGTCGGGTAACTCTCTTTTTCCCTTTTTTTTTTTAAACGCCCTAATATCCAGCAGGGTGGCACTCAAAATCGTTGTTTTGAGTGTCAAGGTGAGGCCCAGCACATTTACTTCCACAAGTGGAGCATTATATCTTTTGCCATGACGCTCCATTGAATTTACGAAACCTTTAGACATTTCTTAGCATTTATTTCAAATGTAGTGGACACAGATGAAAAAGGCAAGGAGAAAGGTGGAGAAAAGGTTTGAAAGGAAATTAGATTGAACTCAAGACAAATAAGCATAAAGACAAGTCAACACCACTGGAGTCTACCTCTAAATCTGCAGAAACAAGCAACCACTACAGCCCACATCTACATATTTAATATTAACAGTTATAGCATCACTGGAAAGTACACAATACATGGTAAAACAAGATGGATATATTTGCAACCGCATCCCGAGAGTATATCTGACAAACAGCTGAATCCAAACACGTGTGTGCGATGTGTCTGGTAACCATCATTGTGTGTTTGTTTTTTAGATGGCTGAATGTTTAAATTGTTGGTCATTTTTATCAAGAAAATCTACTGCTTAAACAAAGACAATATTATGTCTGTGATGTAACTTTTTGACATCAAGTTTTAGCATTTAAATGAAATACTTTTTGATATGGTTTCTCTGCTGAAAAATATTTCCCTGTAAAATTTCTTCAAATAATTGTTGACATGCTCTACTACTTGTTTCTCACTAGGGAGACTCAGGGGGCCCACTAATGTTAAAAAAGGGCCCTAAGTGGATCCAGGCTGGGATTGTGAGCATGGGTGAAGGCTGTGCTCTCCCACTGACACCTGGAGTCTACACTCGAGTGTCAAAGTATGAGTCTTGGATCAAAGACATGGTCACTGGCACGAAACCGGGCTTCCTCACCTTCACTTCTCCTGGCGTTGACAAGGATTTAAATTACTTTTGTCCCCGCAAAGTGACATCTGATGACAAATCTTTTGATGGTGGTGAACACCTGAGTCCTTCCAGTCACTCATTGGCGTTCTCTGTTGTTGCAACATTTCTCAATGTATTTTTTGGCAAATAATACATTTAAATATACAGTGACTTCCTGAGTCCTCAAATATGTTGTCCTGCCTATCTGCTCCACCACCACTGATGGTATTTTTGGCAATGGTGAAAATCCAAGTCCTTCTAATCATTTTTTGGCGATCTCTGTTCTCACAGCATTTTTTCTTTTTTCTTTGGCAAAGAAAACATTTTAATGCACAGCAACTTCCTGAGTGTACAAATATGCTCTGTCAACATGGAGCTTTGCTGCAGTTCACAGACGAGTGCGTCAATTGCTACCCGACAGAAAACCTTGAGAGGCACAAAAACCCTTCATTATCAGATTTAGATTCAAGCTGTGAAATAAGTAGTTTGAACATTTAGATTTTACTCTTCCGAGTAACTTTCCTTACCTCATTTTGACCCGTTTTACAAGTTGTCATAGTAATCAACTATCTCAGTAAGAAAAGTAAATTCAAAAGCCTGCCAGGAGACTTTCCTTACCAAGATGCAAAAAGGTCAAGAGTGTTTTCAAGCAACTTGATTTTTACAATGAGAAAAGTTATTCAGAGTTGGGAAATTGTTAAAGCAGCTAGCTGCATTGTACAATGTCTTCCCACAAGTGGATGGGTGGAAAATATTTTTATTTCACTTCCTTGTAAGAATGAAATGAGGTTTAACATATGGCTGTTCCTCATTCCATTAAGGACAATACTGTTTGTTCTCTCTTTAAAGAACAGCCGGCTGAGCTTTGTTAAAGTCGTTTCTGTAACCTTTTTAAAATGTCACCAACGAAGGTTTCCATTAACCATAGAATTCCACAAATTGAAATTGTGAAAATTCTTTCAAAAAGCTGCATTTTCGCTAAGATTTTTGTCTTATGTTTTTTTTTTTTTTTTTTTTTTTTTGGTTCTATTGAAATTTATGAATTTTGAAAAACTGAAATGGGAAGACCTTTTTCTTTGGTATCAGATGAGTCACATGATCAACACTCGGATGTTACTGTTGTGAACAACAACGACGATAACAAGAAGTGTTGTGAAGAAGAATGATGGTTTGTTTTTTGGACTATGTACTCCAACGCCTAAATAAGACGCCGATGATGGGTGATAGATGATTAGCATTAGCGCCATGGCTGAATTATGACCACAACCTCATGTAACCGTTTCCATCAATTTTTGATGACGAAATTATTCACGTGGTTTTAATTTAATTTCTTATTGAATGGAGACGCTGGAACTGTGAAATTGTGCAAAAGAAAAAGTTACCAGTGCTTCAATGATAGCTAATCCTAACAATGGTAGTTGGCATGACCAAGAGGTAATGGAGTATCAGCAAATGAAATGGCAAGCATTTTATTTTGGTTGAAGCAAAACACTGATATGAAACTTTCACATGAGACAAATCTCTGGTGATATGAACGGTCATTTTATGAGAGGTAAACTGTTGTATAAACACACATTCCCACATTCACTGGGGATGTGGTGAAATGATGAGCTGGCAAATGCTACATAGTTTCACTGACAGATATAGCACAAAGAACAGACCGGTTTTGATGAGCTGAAGACAAAAGGCTGAGTGGGAATTGCAGATAAGTGACAGGTGAAACGTGAAACAATAAGGAAATAGTTTGAAGCTGAACAATGTCTCCAGTAATGGCAATAAATACTCCTCTGCTTCACTGACGGTCAAAGTCAACCACAACTATTTAGTAAAAACCTCTTACTTTTTGAAAAATGCTTTTAAAATAAGTATTTAAGAGGACAAATGCTATTGAATTATTCCATAAAACATAAAATATCTGTACATTTGTTGATAAGAGTCAGAGGTGCCCAGATTACAAAAACAAATTTAGCTGATTATCTTAACAACATGAGAGGAAAACAAACATGTTGCATGATGGAAATAAATTACTTCCTTGAGTGGTCATCCTTCATGGCCAATCAAAGAAAGCCCTGAAGTCTCAACTCTGACAACACAACCCGCAGGTTTCCTTTCATGTTGCATGTGTTAAATAGGCTGACATCAGTGGAAAAGGTTCATTCTGAGTGGAGCTCAACATCTGCATTCATTTCAGCTTAGGATATCATTTCTTCAAAAATGGCTCTCCAGAAGCTGTTTGGAAACTTTGTGCTGATCCTTCTGCTATCAAATGGTAAGAAAAAGTGTTTTATGACTCATGTTACCTTTCATGTAGCTTAATGATAAACCTTATACACATAGATGGTGAAAAGCTTTCTGTTCATTATTAGTTAAGAAGACAAACTTACATGTGCTGCTATCTTCGTCACATTTTTTCAAAGATGTTTCATCTTTGTGACCAATTTTTATGAGTATGTAGTACACAGTCAGAATGTAACATTTACATCCTCATTTCAAATGATCAAGTTTTATAAAATATTGTTCTAACATTTATTAGTTCAGATACAATACACAAATAATCCTGATTTAGGTTTGGAAGATAGAGCTTTTAGTGTTGCTGCTCCCAAATTATGTATAGTTTTCTCATTACGCATTAAAAGTGCCCCTTTATGGCCTCTTTTATTGTCCCCTTTATTGCCCCCCCCCCAATTTCAGGTTGCTGCTGAGCTCCGGCAGGTTAAGCAGGCCCGGCTGGTTTCCAGCTGGTTTGATTAGAGTGATAGGGTGAAACTGAATTTCAGGGCCTCTTGGCCAATTGGTCAGCGTGTGTGCTGCAGCTTTGTGCTGCAGAGATAGAGAATTTGTTGTCTGCTAGAAACCCTGGCTTTTGTTGTTACCTTCCCCTTTCTTTAACTTTAGGTTCTCATCTTCACCTTTAAGATTTATTCAGATTATTTCTTTCTTGAGACTTATTATTGTTGAGACTTCCTCCTACTTCATTGATTGCGCATTATGTAGTATTGTCTTCTATCCTTTCCATATTTTGAGTGTTTGTTGGGTTTTATTTGTTCAGCACTTTGTCACAGCTGCTGTTTCTAATAACTGGAAGCAATATTTGGAGTGAGCCAGTAAGACTTCCAACAGATTCAGAGCTCATTTAGTGCTAAAAAGTAAAACCCAAACACTTTTCTGAAAATTTGCTCAACAGCAACCATGTACTGGTAATCATAGTCACTTCAAATAAATCAACAGTACATCTGCCCACCTCTATAAAAGCATATGAGTTATGGCAGTTTGCTCTCTGAAACAGACATATTTAATTCAGGATGCAAGGACAGCGGCGTGTATGCTGAAAAGGCAATTGTTTCCGTCCTTCAAGAGCTGCAATGTGACAAAAAGGTACTTCCAGTCTTAGGATTTGTTCAGTTATTTTCTCATGTCAGATTTCAAATGCTTTGAAAATAGAAATATCCTAAGATATCCTGACTAAGTGATAATTAAAAAAAAAACATGCAACAAAGGTATGTTTCGTATGGTTGACCACTAATTTTCCTCTAACAGAAAACCATAAAGGCATCAGTTCATGACCTTAAACTTTGCAAATATTTCTCCATAGCGATGAACAACACCTGTTACAAGTTTTTGTTTGTTACCACCAAGAAAGAAATAACCAGTACAAATGATGATGCTACCTTTACTTTTTCACACTAGACAGAGAGGTTTGAGTATCTATTTTCAATGAATAAAAGAAATCAAAACTTTTTTTCTTCTTTTTTTTTGATTCGTTCCTTAAAATATACCAGAAACGTTGAAATATGAAAGGGGGCAAACACTTTTTGAACTTCGGGTGAACAAGAAAGCCATGATTTTAGAATAATAAAAGTTATTTATGCATTTATGGACATGTATAAAGATGACTTCCGTCATCCTACAAGTGAATGTGTGGGAAACAATAGTTCATTTCTTTCTCTAACTGCTCATGTGTGCTGATGACTGGTTTAACATGTTTGTCTATTTTTGGCATTTCAGGTTGTCAATCACAGCAGCCTGGTAAGCATCTTGGACACTTTAACAAGCTTAACCCGTTTGGTTCTGTTTTCTGACATGCAGAACATTAAACATTAAAGAGTTAATCTAATGTTAACTCTCTCCAAAAGAATGGGGAAAAACAGAATAGTTCATTTTTGTAATTTGGGACTTTGTTAAGTTAATGGACATTTTGCTTTTGCCTTCTATTAAAAAAGCAGAAATACAAAACAGCGCGAGAACACTTTTTTTTAAATAACCGTGCAAAAATGGTTCAAAATTGAAACGATGATCGCACCTTTTTTCCATAAAACTGACAGTAGAAAAACAGAGTCACTTCCTCCACCTTCGCTCGTCTCAGCTTTTGTCTCTTCTCGGTTTTCCCCAGCGTGTGGCAAAGCAGCTGCAAGCAGGTCGCGAATCATTGGGGGTCAGGATGCCCAGCTAGGGGAATGGCCCTGGCAGGTATATTTTGCTACAGCCGATTCCTTCTGTGGAGGGTCGCTGATAAGCAATGAATGGGTGCTAACTGCTGCTCACTGCATAACAAGGTGAGAGGGTTTTTTGTTATTGTTGTCAATAGCTGATTAAAGCTGCAGAGTGTAATTTTTATAAAAACAAAATCTGTTTGAACTGATCTATCTCATGTCATGATACAGAAAAACTTTGAAAAGATCGATCTCCTCCACCTCTTGCCAGTGCTGATATTGCTGTCTGAAGAAATGCACCCCTCCTGGTTAAAAACAACCAATCAGAGGCCGGAGGGGAGTCTGGGCGCTGTCAATCATCCTCATGAACCAACTGCTAAATGTTCTAGCGGCAGAGCAACAACTCACTGTTACAGGAAAACTGTAACAGTGAGTTACAGTTGCTTTAGCATAGCTTTAGCATTGACAGCAGGCTGAAACTGCTGGGGATAAACTGCATCATGACACAGGGCTTGGCTGGAGTGATTGACAGCGTTAAGGCCCGCCTCTGCGCTCTGACTGGTTGTTTCTAGCTAGCAATGAACACTGGACGAAAAAAAATTTTTTACATAAAAGTTACCTACTATAGTTTTTATCAATGAAAGCGATTTCATCATGTTTCTTAACATTTGTTGATACTGAAAGAACCAAGTCTAAACTTTCATGTGCCGACTCATTCTCGCGTTTTGATTTTCTGAAAGAGACGACCTCAACAACACAGAAGTCCAACTTGGTGATGTACAACTAGATAACTCTTCCAACTCGACTAAAGTGACTCGAAGACTCTCTAAAATCATCTGCCATCCTGAGTACGACTCTTCGACTTTTGAAAATGACATCTGTCTCCTGAAGCTTTCGGCTCCCGTTGAATTTACTCCCTACATCCAGCCGATCTGCTTGGCCTCGGAGAAGAGTACTTTCTATGATGGCCTTACAAGCTGGGTCACTGGTTTTGGCGTCACTGGTAAGTTGCACAATAGTCACCGTTCCCGACAACTCCGCTTGTGAATTTCATTTAAAGCCTTTACTTTTGTCTTCCAGAAATCCCGCGTGTGGGAACGGGATCACTGCCAAAAATTCTGCAGGAAGTGGAAGTGCCAATAGTTGGAAACAACAGATGCAAATGCTACTACTCCGAAATGTTCATGTTGCAGCTTGATTTCAATCCTAACCTAAACCTAAATAACTTCATATGTGCTGGATTAAAAGAGGGAGGAAAGGACTCTTGTCGGGTAACAACAACTTTGTGTTTTGTTTTTTTTTTTTCCACAGCTCAATGGAGTAATTCTCAGCATAAAACAAGGAAGATATTTCAAACTTCCTGATAGTCTATAAGTCAACTGCATTTACAAGTTGATTTGAATCTCTGGTTTCAGTATGTAGTTCATGAATCTAATAAAAATCAATGTTTTCACTAGATCATTGAAACCTGCCTAGTTTGTAGATGTTTTTCCTGCAAACTACTGTTTTATTCCATTGTTTTTAGTTTCTGTTGCTCTTACTTTGTACTGAACACTTTCTGCCATGAAAACTTAAACTCTCCACTCGTGGAGGATTTCCTTATATTATTTAACATTCTTCTATAAGATAGGCTTATATTGACCAGCACTGGCACAGTTAAATGAATTTACATTAAAATCAGGGGAGCACCGGCTGCAGCCAATTAGCCCGACCTACCGATTCCAATTTTGCTGATACCAATTTTATTTTTTTTTGTCTGAAATGTCATTAAATATAACAGGAAAGTTGTTGATTTGGCAAGAGTGCAGCAACTCTTGCTACGTGCAAAAGTGCAGCCATGACCTGGTGGGCGGGGCTTATCATCAAACCTTTGATGGGAGAGCAGGAGAGGACAGTGGTTGGTTTTAAGCCATTTTTTGGGGCAGATGAGATCAGGTGAAAAGATTGGATACACATTGAAGTATTGGCCAATCACCGATCGCATAAAATGAAGGAAATCCTTACCGATAAATCGGACGCACCCCTAATTGAAATCAAAGTATTTCACAGGTTAAAACCAAAAAGAAGCAGCATTGTTTTTGCTGTCCAGTCCCAAACTGAAGGCATGAAGCATTGCACAATGTGTAACACAACAGAACCAAAGAAAAAGCAGATGCTTTAGAAAAACCTAAAAATAAAAGCCAAAAATAAAATAAAATGTGAGAATAAGAAGGTAGTACGAAACTGCAATTACTATCTGCAAGGAATTACTTTTCTTCTCCATCTCCCCCCCTTTAGGGAGATTCGGGTGGACCGCTGATGGTTCAACTCCAGAATAGTTCTCAGTGGGTCCAGGCTGGAGTTGTGAGCTTTGGTGAGGGATGTGCTGCCCCAATGAAACCGGGCGTCTACGCGCGAGTGTCCCAGTACCAGAGCTGGATCAACAGCACAGTCACTGGCATGGAGCCGGGCTTTGTTACCTTCACCTCGCCTGGAATCAACAGTGACCTGAACTTCAGCTGTACTACTCCTACAACCGCCTCCACCACCCCCCACACCACCACCACCGCCCACACCACCGCCCACACCACCACCACTCCCTGCATGACCAGTGACGACAGTATTTTTTGCAGTGGGGAAACCCTGAGCCACTTCACTCACTTCATGGGAATTTCTGTTCTTGCTCTGTTCCTTCATTTCCTTGTGGGCAGGGCTTAGAAGTAAATGTTTTACTGAGGATTATGCAATGCAGATAGGAAAAGGTTACATTTTATACTTCACTGCAGTATAAAATATGTGCTACTAAACGCATGTGCACGTTTTAAAAGTAAGAGTTATTTTTCTTTTGAGCAGTCAACTAAATTCATTTTCAACAGTCTTGCTGTTGACATGTAGCTAAGTAACATGGGGGTTAATCTGAACTCACAGGAATATTGTGATATGTATTGGCAATAATGTAATACAAATGATCAAATATTGTGATATTAGAAATCATGTGTGAACCAAGTTAATTTTTAAAAATTTGATTCTGTTTTTAGTCTGTTTTAAATTATTCTATAAATTTTGGTTTTCAGACATGTAGTTTGAATTTGGTGTGTTTTTATTGCATTTATATCCATGGCAGAAACATTTTACCATTGTTTTATGAAGTTTGAAATTTACTAAAAAATTTACTTAAAACTAATGACTGTTCCGTTTCAGCTTTGCCCTTTCAACTTTAAGGTTTAAGGATTAAAGCCTTTTTATGTTTAATATTCAGTTTTTCAGATTTCTTGTTGTCTCCCAAATATGTTCAACAGAACAATTAGAATCATTCGCAACTAAAATGGTAATTCTATATAAATCTTAATGCTCATGAACATAAAAATTCCTACAAATTGTATATTTGATTTGGATAAATGCATTTGTCATTTTGCATGTAGTAGAAATAATAGTGGAATATGTGTGGCTTTTTTTTTCTTTTAAGAGGAAGATGTCAATAAAATGATCAACCATCATCCAGTAAAAACTTGACAGTGACGTCATTTACAAGATTTCAACACCGACAATGTCACATCGTGGGTAAGGGGTCGGCAGATTAAAAATGAATAGAGAACTGAAATCATTTTTTTGAAGATAATAGACGTTTTTAAAACTGATTTACCTGCATTTACAATTAAGCATCATTAGACATTTGTAGATATTACAGTCCTTTATTACAGGCTATCAGCGTATTACTATCTCTAAATATCTCTCAATTTATTACTAAAAAGTAAAATATCAAATTTATTCTGGCTTCAAAGTCCTCCGTATGGACTTCAGTGTCGGAAAAAAACAAAAAAGAAAAGGAGAGCTACATCTGCTACTGGAAATAAAGGAATCCAGGTTTCAGGGTAATGTTCAAGAAGAAAGCAACATTTTTCTTTTAAGGAATAATTGAGGAATTAATGGTAAATGGACAGAATTGACTTAATTTGGCAGCTTGGTTGGGGGCATGGTGTGTTTGAAAAGAAACACACAATGCTTCATATATACAGAACTCCAGTGACTCATGTTAAGAAAGGAGAGCAGTAATGGACGTCCAGCTGCTGCCTGCAACGCTCAGTGTAACAGCACCGTCAGAGGTTCATTACTGCATCAGCTCAGTCTTTTTATGTATTTGAAAAAGCAAACGCACAATTTAGCAACGTTGGCCATGATATTTATATAATAGTCACATCAACCAGTTGATTATTTAACTTCACTGTGAGGCCTTCTCTCACCAGGTACTGTGGAGAGAATCTTCAGTTTTATGACTAAACTTTGACATGAGATTGAAACACGTTTGGAAATTCTACTTGCTTGTAATTCATTGTCACACATTCATTGCAAAACAAACAGTGCCTCTAAATTCCAGTCATCAGGCCCAGCCTCTCTTTTCTCTGTGCCTCTATTCCAGAACAGCTGATCCAAATGATTGCATGACCTCTTCTGCAGCCGTCAAGACCTGCAAAACCTGTTAATCACCCACAGATTCAATCTAGGTGTGGCAGAAGGGAAACGCCCAAAACATGCAGGTCAGAGGGGATAGAGGACAGGAACTGAGAAACACTAAACATTAGACAGTTGAATTTTGCTTGTGACCTTTGCTATGTTTAATCATCGTGACTATTTGTGTTTCTTTTTAGTTGTAGTAAACTCAGAAGTGGCCAAAATTTATAACTGCTCTAGTATTAACAGAGAGTTATTATATTTCTTTTCAGTTTGTCCTCTTAACTATTCAGTAAAACTGTTTCTCAATATTTTGGATGGGTGGCATCCTGAACTGAACTGGCCAATTAGATTATATATTTTTAAGACAGAGAAAGCCATGATGCATAAACAACCTTGTCTAGCATATTTGAGTTGCACGTCATGACAGCATAACTTTACTTCCCAGAAATGCTCTGTGCATAGCACTTCAGGTACAGTCATTACCAACTAACTGATCCAGATAGTCAAGTTTTGCTTTTTCAAAATCCAAATCAGCTCTTACAAAAGACAGAAAAAAGAAAAGAAAAAAACACAAATGAAAGTCATACGTGATTTTCGTGGAATTTTTTTTCGAGAGAGCTCTTTTGTGATCAGAGCAGTGTATTGGATATCATGTCACTTTGGGTGGAGCTAAACACAGAAAAGTATTTAATGTGGAAATTCAGAGAAAAGAGGTACTGGTGACAATGGCTCTTCAAGGGTTTGCATGGGGGATCACTGTGATGATCGCGCTCTTCTTCAAAGGTGAGGGAAAAAAAATCTTTACTTATATTTCTCTTTCACTGAAATAATGTTATGTAACCTGGTTGAATTTATCTGTTGGTATAATTACTCAAAATGTTTTTCTTTGGTTATTTGTATGGGTTCCTACCTGACTGAAAATCTCTGTTATTGTTTTAACTGTGTTACTTTAAGAACGGAAGCCCCTCCCCTTTTGTTTCTTCCTCTGGTATTGTCTTTAAAATGTTTGCGTCCCTTGGACTCTCCCCTTTTTGTCATGTTGTCCTGTGGGAGAGGGCTTTGAGCGGGCAGCCTGTAACACGGCTATTTCCTATTTGTTATTCTTGTCAGAATAAACCCTTTTAAAGGTGAACCACGGCCTGATCATTTAAAACCAGCACAACGCAGATCGGATCTGGTCACAGTTACATAAAAGCATCACACTCCATCTATAACCATCAAATCAGTCATTTGCTTTGCAGTTCATCTCTGTTACCTAAAGGCCAGGGGGCAAATCTAGCCTGCTGTAGCTTTTCATGTGGCCTACTAGATTGTAAATTGCATTACACATAAAATCAATAGATCTTCACATTTTTTTCATATTTTACGGGTTTTTTGTTTCGTTTTTGTTTTTCAAAGTTGGCCAAAAACATTGAGCTTAAGCGACTGCTGCTTCAGTCTTACTTGACATGACAATTAATAAAAATTTACATTTACTGTCATGCTTTAGTCCAAATGTTGTAAAAATTCCTTACAAATATTTATAAATTAGCACCACAAAAAAAATAAATTAATAAAAATTAATTTTTTGGTACTGCATTTACATTTATCAATTTAATCAAAGTATGTCATGAATATGCGTGCATGTACTCCATCTTAAGTCCAGAGCATACTAGATTTTTTTTGTTGCTTTTGCCGCCACTAGATGATATGCATTCAAAATACGACAAACAGCATTATTCAGAAATGCGTTGAGTTTATGGCAGTTGTTCCTCCATGTTTGTAGTTCTGACATTCTGCCATCACTGTAGTTGTAAAGAGCAGCTCAGAGGGAGACAAAATTCTATCTATGTTGAGAGGAACTGACACTATTTTGTATCAGTTTTTTGTTTTGACTTAAATTTGGCTCGTTTTTTGTTAATTATCTCGCCACAGTTACTCAAAATGCCAACAAAGCTAATAGCTCCCCTCACGGGATGGAGCCGCACGCTTTGATATATATATTTTGATGTGATGAACAAGAGGTGCCTGCCATACATTGCTATGGGCAAGCCCCAATCATACACAGACAGTTGCCTTGTTTAATACTATTTATTTTTTTTTGCAATTTTTTACATTGTTGATGTTTGGCTTCATATAAAGCAGTGACACAAAATCAGTCTCTTAATATCAATGACGTAAACGCATGACAGTACTCACCTGACATGTTTGTGTGTGTGTGTGTGTAAATTTCAGGTGGTGACTCACAACACGGTAAGTATCAAACACTTCTTTTCTAATTTTTGTTAACAGGAGACAAAAAAACTATTGTAGTCTTGGGAATTTTTTTTTTACTTGTAAATGGTGAAAATGAGGTGGGGAAAACTGTACCTGTGAACTATGATACACATGAACAGTAAAATAAATAAATAAACTAATAAATAGGATCAAAAAACTTTGGACACTTTACTTAGGCTGAAACAGCTCAAGTGCAAAACTTTATCGTCTTCCTTCTGTGGTCGCCTTTTTAAAAATATGTTATAGTTTTTGTTTAGTTATTCTTAACCTTTTTTTCTTAATCTTTTATTGTTTGGCGCAATGTCTGGAGTACGGCCCAGTGTTCAGAGCAGGGGTCACCAACCCGGTGCCCGCGGGCACCAGGTCGCCCGCAGAGCTACTTCTAAAAATAGCCATTATCATTAGGGGGAGCACTACCAAAAAATAATTTAATTAAATGTTTTTACATTGAAGTAATGACGTTTGTTTATATTTAGAGTTCAAAAGAGGGAAATGATAAAAACGTTTAAAATAAATTGCTTTACGTATAAAACTCTTTCTTGCAGTTAAAGTTCAGAACTGCGCGCAGGCGCCTGCAGGAAACTATCGGAGCGCAGCAGCGCCTGCAGCTGCACTCTGCGTACCTTGACATTTTTCTTTAAGTAAAGAAAGAAAAGAATAACTTCTGGAGTTTTTATTATCTAACCCTATTTACTATTAACAAAATTGTGAAGAAAAAATAAATAAATTGTGTCAAAACATCTTATTCGTAGCGCACATCGCAACACCCGAACCTGGGAATCAACACCGTCCTCTTTCCGTGAACCACATGGGGAGGCTTCGCTTCCATGTCTTTATTATTTAGCATCGTCTGGGAAAAAAAGTGCGCTGCTCTTGTGGTTTAGGCTTGTGCTGATTTTTGCGCATTGGAGAGGTGCTTGTGCTCTTGCAGGTCAGGTGCAGTGATAGTTTTGTGTCGGACCTTTATTTTTTCCACATCTGCTGGTGTCAGCCAGCAGGTGGCCCGTCAGCTGTTCGGTTCGCGAAACCACGAAAAAAGCGAATAAACCGGTGACCAGCCAGAACCGCGCAGACGGTCAGAAGCTCAGGCTGAACGTAGAACAACAGGAGGTTCATACCCAACTCGTTCATTTTTAGCTTACAGAAAAACGCAAAGCCGTGAAATAAACAAAAGAAAACTGACCAATAAGACTTGGGCTTTGGGGTTCCCCACCTCAACCCTCAGACTGACAGCTGTGTCATAGATGAGGTCATAGATGAGGTCATAGCTGCTATGAGCTGCTGCAGTTCTGGGCAATGTCTTTCTTCTGATCGTTGCAATGGAAACAGTCAGTTCTGCATGATTCAAACTATTAACCCTTTACAATCGCCTCACTTTATCATTCGGATGTCGGAAGTGAAGGATGGGAGAATCGAACAGAGTGACTTAAGTTATTTCCACAAGTTGTTTTTACCCGTTTATTCGTGGCTTCTTCTTGTTGGAGTGGAGATAACTGGTCTGTGAACGTAACAAACCTGATTGGGGCTCATAGACAGGGCAATTTACAAAAGTTGGAAATTGCTGGCTTCCAAACCGACCCATACTTCTTCCACCCTAAAGTGTTAACTTGCACCCCCACCAGGCAAAGCATTGTTTGTTTATTTGTTATAGGGTGTTTTTCATTCAGTGACAATCACAGCAAAGAATCTCTTTGGTGAGAATCACAATATAGTACAGTCAGCATGTGAACACATAGGAAGACTGGGGTTCGGTGTTTTTCCACTGGAACGCCGTAACCACTGTTCTGCGCGCTGACAGCTTCAGGGAATGAAGTGACTAGTCACGTGTTGTTGGGCTCAAGTACAGATGACATCCAGAGTTGTCTTGGCAAATTACAAAAAGGTTTTTATTTACCTTTATACAAAAAGTCAGCCTGTCGACACTCGGTGCCTAACGATCCCCAGCAGAACGGGAGATAAGCAGTATACTGCCGAGTAAACGGCAAGTTCCAGGAACACACACCACAGTGACACATTCACTGACATAAAGGAAATATGAGACAGACACAAAACCGAGACAGACACAAAACCTAGCCAAGTTCAGAAGGAATTAAGAAGCTGCAATGAACAATGAATGAACTTATAAACAAAACAAATTGGGTGGGGTACCTCAAATTAGTGCATCACTTAGAATTCCTTGCAAAAGTATTCAGACCCTTTGAACGTGATGCTCCAAACACAAACTTGAATGTATGTTCTTGGGGTACAATATGATAGATCATTGCAGATTAGTGCAATGATTTAATTATAGTGTTTTTGTCTATCCCATAAAATCCTTTTAAAATGAACTGAAATTGGTGTTTGTAATATCACAAAAACAGGCATGTTTAAGGCACAGTAGTCAGTTTTGCTAAAAATCGTCAAGTTACAAAATATATGGACTAAATTTTTGAGCTTTACGTCATGTAATAATATTCCCTCAAGTTTCTTTGATTCTCTATAACTGTTTGAGAAATCCCTTATTCTAAAACGTCAACTGAACTTGCTATTATAGCCATTTCTCAGTGAAACATTGATTTGCTTCATTTCAAACAATAAAGCAAAGTAGGATAGAGAAAACATCTGCATACATAACCAAGGACAATATTAGTTTAACACTACTTTTCTGTTTGAAATGAATATAGAGAAGTGAACATTCATTAAATGCTACCCCTTATCTCAATTTAATAAAATATATCACTTACTGGCTCAGTAAATATCAATAAAACAAAGTTATAATTTTCATGTGCATGTTCAATACATTGCTACTGAACCAACAAAAACTTAAACTAACCAAGAAAATTTAGGGATGACAATAGTAAACAACTGGACATACAGCATCAGAATAATTACCAAGTCCTTGCCAATGTACACCTATAGATTCTTCATCTGTGTTATGTAACAGAAAGTAAAATGCTTAAGAAAAGGAGAAAACCTATTAAAACATTAACAAGTTAGCAATAGTGGTCATAGTAACAGAAGAAGGGAAGGAAAAAAAACTCATTTGTGTTAATTCCCCTCTTCCCTGATAATAAAGTTGTGACTTCCTGAAGGCAGAGTTTCAGAAAGAGCAGGAGGTTTTAAAGAGGCAAAGGCCTAATTTCAAGGAGTTAAATTATGAAGTCAAATTTCTAAGTTATATTTGATGTAGATAGCATTTTTATGCCAACTATTGCTTGATTGTGCCATAAAATGGCACCATGTGTTTGGACAATGCATAACGCTGTACCTTTAACAACCACTTGCCTATGTGGTCTGAGTAATTTTGTACTGACCGACCCACTGTTTTAAAAACAAAGAAAGAAGAAGTGAAAACTGTGTCGTTACCCTTTGTGTTTTGTGATTGTTGTACAGCCTGTGCCCGCCCTCCAAACAACAGCAGTATCATCGGAGGGCAAAGTGCATCTGCAGGAAGGTGGCCCTGGCATGTTACCTTCACCTTGAATGGCAACGTCCAATGGCAGGGATCTCTGATCACTGACGAGTGGGTGCTGACAACGGCTCAATATTCAGTGTAGTAAGTTATGGTTTGGTATTTTGCAACAAAACACCATGCAGCAACCATCTAAAGAACTGCTCTTCATACGTTTCTTGGATATTTTTTCAAAGACCTTTTTAAATAAATCTGCTGTAAATTCCAGACTACGCAGCACACCTGACTGAAAGCTGCCAGCTCTAATTTTAGAAAGAAAATCAATTTTGGACAAGCCGCGCTGGATTACTAAGATGATAAATCACAGGTTACCCACGTTGTAATATCAGATATTTCCAAGGAAAGATATGTAAATATGTGAGGAATTTTTACTTTTAATTTAATCAGCATAATAAACAAATCCATATTGCAAGTGATTTTTTTAAAAATCTTTAAATATACATACGTGTCAGTAAATTGTGACGCTTATACTTTTTCACTGAACAGTGCACAAACAACATTCCAATGTCTCCACCTCTGGAACTTTCAGTTCTTATTAATAGTACCAGTGAGAGGCAGGTCAAACGTCAAAGGTTCTTCATCCATATTTATGACATGTGGCCCAAAAGGAATTCTCCGCCATCTTTGTTGGAGTGAACGTGTGAAAGTTAGCAGGTTTATACTCTTAGTCAGGTGGGAGCTGCTGACGCAAAACTATGCATGCCTTGATGGACAGGCCTGTCCGTCTCATAAATCTTTACCACCACAATAGCCCACCTCTAAAATCTTCTGATTCTCATTTTGGTGGCGATCGCGTCAGTCTGATCGGCGCGGTAGAAACACTCCAGTCACGTTTTGTCTGTGTGTTAAACCGGTCTTCAGAGAAGTTTTCAAGTTTGAGGCCATCTGTTATGGTTACTTCTGAAAGCTTTCATCGTCCTTTTGGACTCAGTTCTTCAGCCTGGCGTCTGCACCATCTCACCATCAGTTATTTATGCCAAGATTATGTCCTTGAACCGCCAGATTGATCGCCTTTGACGTAAAAGCTTCATCATATAATGAGTGTTTCCCATGTTGAGAGCAAAAAAAAAAAGTTTTACTACACCAGTCATTGATTTATGAAATAGTTCTTAATTTATTGTACAATTTCATTAGATCACTGATCACTTTCATTGGTCTATTGTTATGAGGCAAAATGGTTTTGGTGGTGTGGGAAGAAAAAAAAAACAACCAAACAAACAAAACAAACCATGCATTAGCCTCACCTTAGTCTCAGGACTAAGATTTCAACAGCAGTAAACTCAGTGATGTGCAGCAGCCATGTCAGTTCAACAACTGGATCAAGGATGCCAGTTCTACACCTCTATTGTTGAATTGAAAACAAGACAGACAAGGATTTACCTACTGCGATACTCAGTAATATTTAAATACTTTTCTTCTCTTTTCTTTAAGCTATTACAATTATGAAGGTCAGAACAATAGTGGAAGCTATTACAACAATGATGTAGTTATGTACTTTGGTGCCATCAATCAGTCTGGATTTGGTGAAGTGACTCGGAGAATTGCCAACTTCACCTGCAACCAAGACTACGCCTACTATGGTGGCAACGACATCTGCCTTGTGAAGCTGTCTGCTCCAGTCAACTTCACTGACTACATCCGACCAGTGTGTTTGGCTGCAGAAAACAGCACTTTCCACAATGGAACCAGCAGCTGGGTCACTGGTTTCAGTGGCACCTTAGGTAATTTCTACAGTTTTGTTTTTTTGCATCAGCTTTCTATACAATACCATTGCTGAATTTTCCAAAGACAAATAACCCTTAAAATGTTTTTCTTTAGGATCTATCAAGGAAATCGATGTATCAGTAATTGGGATCAGAAAATGCAACTGCAGCTACAACAACAATTACTACTTCTACTACCACTACTTCTATCGAATAACTGAGACAGTGATGTGTGCTGGAAATGAAGATGTTTCAAAGAGAACATCTTACGTAATTACCTTTTTTTGTTCTCATTTTTTTTTATTTTATGTTTTGAGATAAATTGAACTTCATGTCAGTTCAACAACTGGATCAAGGATGCCAACGAATCAAACCCAGAAGGAGGGTCTTAGTGCAGTCAATCACGCTTGTGTGTATGGTTCATGCCCTCCAATTACTCTGCTGCCCCAAAGTTTCTCCTCTTCAACAGAGCCTGGCTAGTTAGCATAGCCACTGGTCACAGCAGATAAACTGTTTAGTGTTTCTCCACCATCAGCACATTGAGCAGCGTGAACATGAGCAGTGATTAACATGTCATCTCCCGATTGGTTGATTTTGAACAGGAGCATTTCTGTAGATAATGGTACCACTGGTAGGAGGCAGAGGAGCTGTTTTTTTCTTACAGAAGTTACACACAGCAGCTTTAATTCAATTTAGTCAATTCTTATCAGTGTTTTCGTTTTTTAAATAGCCTGTGTCACTATTGGACCAGATTGAAAAACACAGTTTGACATCCATGTTGTTCTAAAATTCTTCCACAGAGAGATGAAGGCGCAGCTCTAGTGACCAAGAAAGACTCCATCTGGGTCCAGAGTGGGATTCTGAGTAAAGCCTGGCTGTCTGAAATTGGTGTCTATACTCGTGTGTCCCTGTACCAGAAATGGATCACAGACAGAGTCACTGGCATGAAACCAGGCTTTGTTACCTACACCTCCCGAGGCATTGACAGCGACTTGACCTACACCTGTCCTTCACCGGCAACTACCACCGTGTATCCTTACTACACTCGGGCCCCGACCACTGATGACAGCATATTTGCCAGTGGTGAATCTCTGATTGCCTTTGCTCGAGTCTTCCCTCTCTCTGCTCTTGTTCTGTTTCTCCATCTGTTTGTTGGTGGTGCTGGAAACTAACTCATAATGTTCACTTATGCACTCCAGTTCACAACAAACATCAGCTCTCTTCATTAGAATCGAAATGTTGATAGTGTTAGTCTGATTTAGTTTTATTTCACAAATTAAGATTGCTACAAAACAAATGAAGGGTTTAGTAAGTTTATCTGGTAATTAGTTTAACAAACCTCTCAAAATTGAAAGATTTTTTTTTCTGTTCTTCGCATTGTGTTCACTGTAAATGCCAATTTAATCGAGTGTTTAACAGACAACAGGTTTGGGATTTTTAGCAACCAATCACACTGTTATTTTATTAAATATGAAACAATCAACTGGTGATTAGTAATGAATAAACTGATTAAAACCAACAGAGAAATTATAGTTCTGAATTATTTTGATTATTTTTTGTGCTAACCCGATGTTTCAGGGTTGGAAGACTCAGCAAACAGTTTGGTGTCCAGTTTGACAAAAAGACGGAAGTAGTTTATTATTCTGGCGAGGGATTTCAGTATGTCTCAGGAGACTTTCAGTTGAGCCAATCCAAAATAAATGTCAAAAAGTGAGCATTTCTTTGTAACCAGGAAAGTATTTAATGGGCTGTCTTTAACCTTTCACAAGACTAAGTAGAAGACCTGCTTGACTACATTAATTTACTGGTAGAGCGATTTTGAAAAGCTTCCTGGAAAATCTAAGAACTTTTTTTTTTAAAGGTGTGCCCAGTAAAAATGTTGAAGCATACAAGTCAGAGTGAATCAGCTGTTTTGAACATGGGAAAATACATCTTATGTTTTCCAGACGAAAAGTTACTGTGGGACATACATCTCACATAAGCAGAGGTTTAACTGCAGGTTGTTTGTCAGAAATCATTTCCATTTGTTTTGAAAAGCTCTTTACATGCAGCACTTAATATCAGCACAATAGTGTTGGCTCTTTTTTTCCCATTTCATTGGACTACTGCATGAGTATGATCACTTGGTTTGGTCCAAACTTAAGAGTTTAATGCCAAAAAACAGGTTTCACCCTTATTGAAAAGACTAACCAGCATTAGCAGACAACTCTCTGATTATATAAAAATATCTAAAGTCAAATCATTCTGTCTGAAGAAGAATCCAAAATAAAGCTGCTTGTGGAAACAACTAATGTTTATTCAACATTTTGTGCAAAGAATATAGAAATGACAAGGACAGGAGGTGGTGTTCAGTTAACTGAGTTAACTGGACTTGTAGCCATTATTTTGTGCCCATTGTTCTCAATGTAATTTTAAACGTTAAAACGGTGAATACTAATTAACCGATAAAGCTTAAACAAGATGAAAAACACAATAACTCACCTCCACATCATAGTACAGCAAATGAAGCCCCATCCTCCACTCTCTCATCCAACACCCTCTTTTTTGTTACATCCTTTATCGCCTAAAACAATCTCACAAACTATCGCTAATGCTTCTACATTATAAGCCGTGTTTGTTTACACTAAATTCACGTGTGACATAGTGAATGTGGGTAAGAGAAATTGGTTTGTGTGTGGTGTGTTGCTCTTGCCATGTGGCTGGACACACTGCACCCGGTACACCGAGGGTATTTTGTCTGCTTGTGCGTCTCCGGTTTTGAAAATGTCCGACGATCGGCCGACAATTTTAAAATCATGTAGTGTGAGCTGGGCAAGAAGCAAATGAGGAAGGGAGGGGTCGGTGGAGAGCACCGGAGTTGAGCCTCTTTTTTTTTTCAGTGTCATCAAAAGAAAAAAAACACCGGAAGAAACGTTAAAGCCGATAAATTAAAATTAGATCAATAACTTTATTGGCTTACTTGTGCATTTCTGATTAAGTTTTGGACGCTTTCACTTTCATGTAGGGAGATAAAAATCTCATCTGTTGCTGTCCAATGTTTTCCAGGCAGCTTCTTTCGTTTGTTTGAACTGCCTGATCGAAGGTTGAAGTACACCGAGCTTCGATGCTTGAAATGAATCCAAAACTACTTCAGCTTTTCCACGTTATGTTTAGTGGGGGAAATTTAGCATGCTACTGCCACAGCATGACAGCCTGAGCTTTCAACACGTGGTAGCTAACTGAGTTATGAGATCAGGAAGAAATGATTTTTTAATTACTGGCACTGTGAGTTTCCAAGGTGCCGATGTGTTTTCAGAATTGTGTGACTAGTGGGTTGGGCTATGTAACTGTTAAAGGACTGTATGAAGCCTGAATGATTCAGAGCGATGCTTGGAATGCTTTGGGATCTGATGTAGGCTGCTGTTCTCCTTGCTGCAGCAAGCAATGAAGCTCAGGACTGGGGACTGCCTCTGCGGTCTTTGGTAAAAGGTCTTTTTCCCATTACAGTTTTAACAGCAAATGTTAAAGCTACAGTTTTTAACTTTCACTATTAAAAATCAGCTTTTCTTACATATTCAAACTATTTCCATGTCATGAAAGTGTGGTAATCTATGAAAAAACAAACAAGCTCTTCCACCCTCTCCCTGAGCACAACACTCCTGGTCAAAAACAACCAATCAGAGCCAGCAGGCGGGTCTTAGTCCAGTCAATCAATTCTATGTATGCACTGCTAAGTGGAGAAACAACTTACAGGAAGTCATCATCAGTGGCCATGCTAAGTAGTCTTAGCATCCGAAACAGGCTCTGCTGATGGGGGAGAAGCTGCAGACTAGGAGAAACAAGGGCAGAGCAGCGTGTACAGAAGCCTGATTGACAACACCAGAACTCTCCTTCCTCTGATTGGTTGTTTCTGAGAGAGTGGTGTATTTCTGCACTCAGTACTGGGAAAAGACAGATTGGTTTTTCCACAGTTTATCCGTCTCATTACACTGAATGACAGTTTTAACAAAAAGAGTTTATAAAAGTTACCTACTGTTGCTTTCATTATTTTAGGAGATTTATGTTCATAATCATCTCAACTAGCACATGATTGAATATTGGAAGAAAAACTGTTTTAATATTTTCCACACTTGGTGCAACTACAATACGATGTATGGCCTCATATTTATGTTTCCATTTTTACTGTAATATCCTTGATTAAAATGTAGCACAACTAAATCCCTGAAGATGTGATTTCATTAGTTCTAAACAGTGCAACTGTGTGGACTTCAGCACAGTTTAGTGGGACCCAATTCATTTTTAGTAGGCGATATATTTGCCTGTGTTAATACGAAAGCCTCTGTTTTCTAAAGCTAAGTGGTTAAAATTGTGAAGGTCTGATCAGAAACAAGAGTGGAGTTTTAAAAGTTGTAGGTTCACTGCATATGTAGGACTTTGTAGCAGTATAAATATTTATAATTATATATTTTTTTAAAGGTGCTTTCAGAGCACATAATGTCACTTAACCAAAAATAAAATACATTTTAAAGAAACAAAAAATCTAAATTTAAAAAAAATCATTATTAAAATTGTGCAAATGCCTGTTTGAACAGCAGGGTGTTGAGCTGGGATTTAAAGTCAGAGAGTCCTTTGAGTGGGAATGTGGATGTTTATTCTAAATGGTGCAGAAGTTGTAAATTTACAGAATAGAGATGCTTTCTGTCCATAAAGGCACATTTACAATCGGTACTGGATCGGTACTGGTACAGCACGGCTCAGAGATCCAGCATGATCAGTCTGGCGAATCTAAACGCTAATAAACCATCATCAACATTTCCCATCAGATCAATATGATCAATCCCTCTAAATCCTTCCATTGGCAATGTTCTCCATCAGAGCCAAAGCGCTCCACATTTACGCTCAGCTTCGTGCAGCTACTTCAGTTTGTGTGATTATGCACACCTTGATCACCTTAAAGATAATCAAACCTGTCTGGAGTTAATCCGCTGATCCAACCCTGTTTTTTTTTTTAGTGAGAATGAAATGACTCCACAGAAGCATTTCATGCTCTTCGGTGCACAAGACCAATGCATTACATCTTTATGAGACAAAAACTGAGGAAAAGTCGTATTTATATTGGGGTGAGGTTTTCAGATCCTTTTATTTTTATTTTCTCTATTTTGTGTGCATGTTAGGTTGTTGTCTGAGGATAAATGCGGTTCAGTTTTATCGTTTACGTTTAGCAATAACATTGAAATCGTGAAAAAAAATCAGGTTTAAAACTTTTCTCTAAACATTGAATGCAGTCATTAAATAAATGTATCTTTACACAAACTTTGACGCAGTTAAGTTTTATACATGCATATTTAATTTTTATGCATATTTTGCCACACAAAATATGCCGCCACACATTTTTTGTGCGCACGCATGCTTTATGCATGAGGCTGCAGGTCTGCCTTGACCCAGTTTGTCTGCCAGATCACTGGTTGTCAAAAGACAACCAGAAACCAGCGGCGCTGTTTTACAGGTTTCTCCAGTTTTAGTCGCATCTCTCATTGCATCAGGAGGTTAAAAGTTCAGCAACCAGCACCGCCATTGTCAAGCTCACCAAAACTACTAAAGACACACCTCCGAAGACGTCTGCAGTAGTCAAAAGGATTTTATAAGGACCATTTTTATGAAACGAGAGGCCTTGATCAAGCTCTGCCGCGAAACGCTAAAATGTGCAAATCCACCATAGATGTGGATATTCATGTAAAGATAAGCAGTAGAAAGATCGACAGATAATGAAACTATTCACTGGGAAAAGAATAACTGCTAGATTTCCAAGGTATTAAATTAACTAACCACATTAGAAGTACGAGTGGAAAAACTGAAGTCCGTTGGGGAAAAAAGAAATTATTTATTTATTTTTAAATAAAATGAGTAAATTTATTAAGAATATTATGGGATCCACATAGATTATAATCAAACATTTAGATAATATTCACCTTTCTGCAAAAACTAAAGGACTTGCGCTTCCTCAAGATTCACAAACTAATCTGTCCCGTCTTTACTTCACTGTCCAGCCCGGTTTAAATTGTCTGGTTGCCTTAGTGAACACCAAGCTATTCATGCTCCACCTTCTCTTGTTAAGATGTTAAGATGAGATAACTGTTCTGATACATGCTACCAACTACTCAACTTCTTCTCCATCCCTTATACAATTTATAAATAAAAAAAATAAAAAAAAGAGGTTTGATCTCCTTCCTGTCATTTCCAATAAAATTCATCAGAAAGGAAGATAAATTGTCTCTTGATAACCTCATCTTAGCTTCCAAGACTAATAAAGTACAATATTAGACAGGATGTTTGAGCCTCATAAACATGAGGCACTGCATACCAACAGAAGCCCTTCAAGGTTCATAAACTCTCCCTAAAATGAATACCAAATGGGCCAAAAGAACCTTATGTTTCAGTTTCATTCACTTTCTGAATTTTAATCTTGCAGCTTTTGCACATGAATGGAACTGCTGTTCCCTACAGGCAAGCTGCAGATTATTTCTGCCCAGCCCCTTCTCC